TGTTTCCTTTAAATTCTGATTTATTGTAATGGCCTTTTTGCTTGAGAATAAGAGGAACAAAAAAGTCCAAACTTTACAGTGCAGGATTTCAAATTATTGCAAAATTTTCCCTTCCGTTTTGTTCTTAGGTGGATCTGTTTTTAAATTATAAAAACAAGCCATTGGGGAATAATTAAAAACAACACACCTTATTTTGTGTTTTGTTTCTATTTGGTGTCTATTATAACAGTAGCACTAGATTTCAAAATTATAAGCCACTTAATTTTTTACAAGTTTGATTAGATTATATTTTGGGTTTCAAATAAAATATTTCTTGATGAAAGTATATCTTATTTCTCTTTAAACGTGTACTTATTACATAGTACAGTAAGTAAACTGGCCTTACTAATGTTCCTATTTTTTTTATAAACTGATAAAGGAATTATATATGTGGTCTGTTTTAGAGTAGTTTCAGGTCAGCATGGGTATGTATTTGATAAAGCTATGTAGAGATCCAGTTGTGTTGATGTATTTTAATGCCCATGTATAAAAGTAAAGACACCGAAAATCCTTTAACTACTGCTTTTAAACTTTGAAAATACAACTTGAAGCTCATTATAAATCTAAATTAGACTTGAATAAAACCCTGATTTTTCTAAAGAAGAAAGGGTCTAAAAGTAAAATTTGAGTTGTTTGTATTTCTTAAAAATTAGGTGGTACCAGCTATATAGTTACCATGAAGGGAATTAGGACTTTGGAATAAAGTGATGCTTCCCCCACCCATCCTAAAATATAAAGCCCCAGCAAAAACATAAGAACAAAACTTGGGTTCTATAACAAATCCTTTCTTTGATTGCAAGTTACATTTTATTCTCACCAATTAAAATATATATCTATAGAAATGTTCCTCTAATATTGTTTTATAGGATTTTTATGTCCGTTTAGCAGTAAAATGAAACTTTATAAACATTAAGTCTCACTTTAGAGCTTTTACCTTGTCTTTATAAACTATTGCTGGAGCAGCATTCAGAAAAAATAGATTCAGAGCTTAACTTTTCACAGAAATCTAATAATCTAATATCTAAATCTGAAAAATATCCATTGAGGAAGGTCTTTATTCTAGATTTGCTTTCATTGTTGTTTTTAATAGGCACAAATGATGAGTTCTGGGAAATTTGATTTTCTATCTCCTGTCATCTTTTTGTTCCCCAACCTAATTCATTTGGTTTTATTTATAAGCCTGCTATATTAATGTGTGTTAGGAAGTTTTTACTTTATAATGAGATAGACGTCTTTGTAGTTACCCTCCTGAGATTGGCATATATATACCCCCTCCCCATAATGGAATGCTAATTTTTATTTGATCACTCATTTATAGCAGTTGCTTAAATGTATGTATGAGACATTGTTTTAATTTTTTAAAAGCAAAATGTTCTAATAAGTTGCCAGATTTTTAATAAATCCACATTTGGTCAATTAATATGGAAATTAAGTTACTATGGTTCTGAAGTTAGTTTTTTTAAACAAAAGAGTTCATAATTTTTCAGGTTTTTTTAGTTCCTGTGGTTATTCTGCATAAGAAAGCCCAATGCTTTCTGTTAATAAATAATTTTTCTCTCACTTGACTTTGAAATCTGACTTAGGTGAACCCTCTTTTTTAAAAAGGTCAGAATGCATCAACATAAATTATATATTTTAAATTCCAAAAGAGAAGGGATATAAAATTCTATTCCTAGCGAAAAGCCATATAATATTCTTGAAACTCATTACATCATTTGCCTCCTGCCCATTTGGATAATCATACCTATGTTTTATTAATTGTGTATTATTTGTAAAACCAAACCCTTCCAGTAAATACTTGCTATAAGGCTATTGTCAATTTTAAAGACTCCTAATTATGTTAAAATTTGCTGGTTTGATTTTCCAAAGATAATTTTATTATACTGAGCTATCCATTATAATCAATCAAAGTAATGTGGAAGAAATAGTAATACTAGTGATGTCGTTTATTATGTGGATCTCTTAACTGAGGAGCTATGAAAAAGCCTTATAGAAAGAGTGCACTGGATTTATAAGTGTGTTTATGTTCCTCTAAGAATGAGAGCTTCTGTTAACTTAGTTGTTCAGAGTAAGCAAGTGGAGTGGATAACTGACTAGAGAATCCAGATTGACAAATCCGTTAACCAGTCATGTTTACTTTTGCATAGAAGTTTGTTGATTAGTTCTTATCTTTGAGATGCAAACACGAAGTTTTAAAAATATTGCATACCTAAAGTATGGGCCGGTAATTTAAATATAATTTTTAATTTGAAGTAGTTACTGTTAATCTTTATAGAAAAGTTTTCTTTTAAAATGTGTATACATATATATATATATTTTTTTTTATTTAGAGGTTACCAGAAGCTCTGGGTTTTTTGTTTTGTTTTTGTTTTTTAATCATTTTCAGATGTTATCCAGAAATCTGCAAGTATACTTTTCCTGTTTTAACTCCTTCCTTTTATCACCTGACTATCAGGGAAGCGAGGTTGAGGCTGCCCTGACCTGACATGTCATGATGTCGACTTGCTAGGTGGGGTTCGCTGGGGACGATAACCAGTGGAATTGTTGGTAAGAACTTTTTTTTTTCCTATTTTTTTTTTTATTAGTAGTGGGGCATTAAGTGTGGGAGAATGCCCATATCCTATAAGTGGGCATTTATGTTGGCCTTATAGAAAAATAAGACTTTAAATAATTTCGTTCTTAATAGGAACATATAATAAGTACTTCATGCTCTTTATTCTCAAATTGGTAGATGAGCAGGAAAGGCCTACAGTATGAATAAATGGAATACTCAGGGTATTATTTTAAGTGATCAGAATAGACACTTTGTAAGATGGATTCTAAATAATGTCTCTTGGTGAGACAATAAATTTGCTTTATTTTACTGTGATTTCAAACAATCCAATATCTTCATTACATTTACATTTTTATTTGGTATATTAGCATATAATGCATCTTAAGGGATGTTTATTGCAAACTAATATTAGTAAAAATAGGATGATGTTGATAGAATGGAGGTGTTAAACACTAAGAGAAATAATTTTTTTAAAACCCTCCAAAAGAAACCTTAATATTGTAAAATGAAACTTAAAAGTTTTAGCAATTTGAAAAAAAGTAGTTCAGTATAAAGATACATTTGATATAACAACTTTTTGTCAAGAGGAAAATACATAGGTAAATTATTATGTCATTGAACATAGCGAAACACAAATTAATCAGCAACTTGTGTTTCATCTGAAACTCAGGAAAGCTGGTAGCATTAGTAGATATTGGTAGAATTAAGAGTCAATTTTTAGATTAGTGCTAAAGATTAAAATCATACTCATTAGAGGATTCCATGAAGGTAAAGTATAAATTGAGGAAATCAAATTGAATAGGCATTTCTGACCATACCATCTAAAAATGTAATATAACATAAGCACTAATTGAAAATAATTTTGGATTTTCATGCCTGAAGAACCTCCTCACTATTCTTATGCCTTCTTTGTTGGTTGGGTGTATCAGTCCAGGAAGAATCTCCTAGGTGTTAAACATGTGCTAGTTGGTGTCATGAATGTAAACCCCTATCTCTAAGCTTGTTGTAGACTAGCTGAACATCACTGCAGTGAAATACTTGAAGAATTTTAGTGATTGTGTCATTATGTTAAGGTACTTGTTCTCTTCTGACACATTTTATACATGTATCAGTGGTAGAAAAGATCAGAGTATAAAACTTTAAGATTGCACTTAATGTGCTCTTGGGAAGTTTTATAGTAAGTAGTAGGAACACTCAAGTAGTTCTGAGCAGTTCGTAGAAGTTAACGAAAATGCAGTGCAAATTTTTGTGCTTTATACACTAACAACAAAATACATTTCATAGGACCAGAAAAGAATGAAGCATTATGGGGGAAAACATACATTCATCAAATATAAATAAGGGCTTTCATTTTATGTAGTAACTTTGTCAGGATCCCATGAACATCCTATCTTGATTTGTCATTTGGACAAAAGGGACTTCTGTAGCCTGTTCATCTGTACTTGAATGATGCCTATTACGATGTTTAGCACTATATTACAAGGCTATTTCTATAATTGACCTGAAAGCTCCTGCAAAAATTTCAGTACCACAAGAATATTAAAATAGAAACATTTATAAGAACATTTAATCAGCAGCTTAATAAAAATTATGCTTTTGGTACAGCGTTCAGGTACCATAACTGTATTGGAATATTTGTACAATGTTAAATATTTTTAATAAAATTTAACATGTTCAAAATGTTGTGTTGGTGATTTTGGGTGGTGTGTGATGGGTTTCATTATACAAATCAAATTCAGTAGTTCTGTAATTGAGACATTTGAAGTCAAATGGATTTCCTCTCCAGATTTAGTACTCATTCGGGCACCTGTTCCATGAAAGGCAGTAAAGAAATAGGACTAAAAGGACTGACATCAAGGGCGTTTATTAAAGTGTCAGGAAATAGCTTTATTGGAGTTTAGAGCTGGGTCTACCGATAGGGATGTTGGCTTTGGCATGACAGGCTGCCAATAACATTTTTCTGATGAAATTGTGGCATTTCCACATTAGAAATGATCCTAGAAAACATACAGAGGAGGGCAGAGGGAAACATTTGTATGATGCTTTCAGTAAGCATTTTATTGCCCCAGTGTTCTTGACCAATTGACATGACATGCCAGCAAGTGAAGGAGGTGATAAAGGAATATTTGAGGAAGGCTGTGTTTGAATGCACTAGGCAGTAATAACTTCGATGTGTAAGAAGTACCATATAGAGAGAGCCCCCTCTTTGTTTCTTAGAGTAAATTTTATGAAGGTTTCTCTTTTCATTCTGATTCCCATTCTCCTGAAGATAGGCCTAATACAATAGCTTTTGTTTTTACTTCTTTTCCTTGGGGTGTTCTTGGTTCTTTTAGTCCTGTGGTCAGCAAACTGCGGCTCGCAAGCCACATGTAGCTCTCTGGCCCCTTGAGTGTGGCTCTTCCACAAAATACCACGTGCGGGCGCGCAGGTACAGTGCGATTGAAACTTTGTGGCCCATGCGCAGAAGTCGGTATTTTGTGGAAGAGCTACACTCAAGGGGCCAGCGAGCCGCATGTGGCTCGCGATCCGCAGTTTGCTGACCACTGCTTACTCTAAAGAGTAGAAGTCCTACAATTTAGAATGGAAATCTACTTGAAGTAATGTGCCCATTTCTTTGCAGACTGTACCAAATAACAAAGATTAAGGAGGAAAGTAATAGGAACCTAATGATTTATAAGCAAATTAAAGGAACTCTTCATAAGGGGTAATAACATAGTCTACTTGTTTTTTTGAATGAAGACTGTTAAATAAAAGAGAGCTATGGAGAAGAAAAAGTGATTATTGTTTTAAAATAAGAGTAGACAAAATATTTGCCTAGGCCAGTATTTTCCAGAAAGAGTACTGTTTTTGTTATTTTCCTGTTCTCCCCAAATCAAAGGTCACTCACTGAGACAGGAAGGAATATTCTAACAGAAATCTAAACTTGGGCATCTTTAGGTGTTGGTAGAGCTGGAGATGGAGCAGCTCACAGATTTGTGGTGTATTTTTTCCAAAAATAAAGGCGGCTTGCTTCTGACAAAGATTTTAAACTTGGGCTCTATTGGTGTGTTTTTGCTCTACCTAAAGCCCTGAATTTACTTAGTTAATTTTTAGAAGTAAGATTTTATTAGGTATTTTCCTGTGAGGTGCATTATATTCACATAAGGGAATATCTTTTGCCTATAGCTATGAAAATCACATTTCTATTAATTTAGACTTGAAATTTACGACTGAAATCATGATCATGTATAGACATTTTCTTAAAAAACTAATATAAACAAGAAGAGTTGGGGGCGGGGGGTGTTTGTTTCCTTAATCTTCACCTGAGGATATTTTTTCCATTGATCTTTAGAGAGAGTGGAAGGGGTGGGGGGGGGCGGGGGGTGTTTGTTTCCTTAATCTTCACCTGAGGATATTTTTTCCTTTGATCTTTAGAGAGAGTGGAAGGGGTGGGGGGGGGCGGGGGGTGTTTGTTTCCTTAATCTTCACCTGAGGATATTTTTTCCTTTGATCTTTAGAGAGAGTGGAAGGGGTGGGGGGGGGCGGGGGGTGTTTGTTTCCTTAATCTTCACCTGAGGATATTTTTTCCATTGATCTTTAGAGAGAGTGGAAGGGGTGGGGTGGAGCTGGGGTGGGGCGTGGAGAGAAACATAAATGTGTCTACACATGGACTGGTTGCCTCCGGATACTCTCAACCCAGGCCGGGATTGAACCTGCAACCGAGGTATGTGCCCTTTACTGATAAGCCCCGACGCTTGGGTCCACATTCCAAATTGGCCAGGGCAAGAACAGTTTTTTATTCAACTACATGGTTAATATTGTCTTGTCATACTGAAACTTTTCATGCTTCCTGTTAAGTAGAACCTTACCAGGTTAATCGTATTTGACTATAAGTTATATACAATTTGATCTACAACCAACAATAAATATTGTTATTGAACTTATTAAATCATGAAGAGTAATGTAGGTATTATGTTTGTTAGTTATAATGTCATTTCTATTTGACTTTCTAAAATAGGGGTGGCGGATCCAAAATAATTTTGAAATAACTTCTGGGAGATTCTGTTTTTAAAAAAAGATTCTGATTCAAATAATTTGAGGTGAGGCAAGAGCCTGCATTTCCCACAAGCTCCTAGTGATACCAATGTTCATGACTAGGTTATAGGTTGATTATTTCATGTTTGGGGGGAATTTCAGAAAGTAGACCTTGGTAGGAAAGGTACAGATAGATCAAGGTAGTCTAGTTGGATCTAGATGAAGTAAAATTTTGGTAAAGGCCACCTCAAAGGTTACTAGTGTTTAGGATCCCAAGGAAAAGGTAGGAGCATAATCTGCAAGAAAATGAAATTTAGAAAAACAGGCTTTAACAGTTTCAGGGAATTGGTGGAAAATAACAGTAGGAAGGAAAAAGCCCAAATTCAGGTCACTGAGAAAACGTCATGGCATGTTTACTTAGGCATTGGATCAGAAAACAAATTACAACAAAAGTCATAAAAGATTAAAATAGCTACTGCAAGCTCAAAAAAGTTAATAGGTTACTAAAAATACCCATGTGGGTTTTTTGAAATCTCTTTGCAAAAAAAAGTTAATATTCATTAATTAGAGCACATTAAGGAAGAATATCATTAAATAACTTAAAAATAACAGATAAAAAGATGGGAAATGTTGAAGAATAGAAATAGCAGGTATATCCATTTTTATATAAAAGAGCTAGAAGGTAGTCCCTGAAAACTGATAAACTATCTGATTTCCCATTCTAAAACTTTAAATTTGAAAAATAAAAATATAGATGACGTATGGAAAACATATACTCTGCTGTTTGCCAATGGTAGGTTAATACATATACTAACTATGCTGTGAGTCCTCTGTACCAGGCACTGTGATAAGGAACTGCTTTACATTCTGTGTATTGTGTAATCAACCCTGTAAGGTAGGTGGTATTGTCCCTATTTTACATATGAAGAACTCAGAAATTGAGTTAAGTCATTTGTTATATAATATTTATAAAGTGGCA